ATCTCATAAAGGTTTTTACTCTTCTGCACGGTTTACATGTTTGATGACTGAAACAGAAAACAGATTAACCAAATAACTATAGTATAAGTACTGCAATAACTATTTACAAACTTATAGGGAATTGAAGCTTTGAATAATTATTATATTTAGTTATTTCTCATATCTCTTCAACCCCACTCAGTTTATTCAACTGAAATCTTTCACATCGCACCCTTCCCCTGTCACTTCTGGTGTTCCTCAAGGCTCAGTTCTTGGCCCCCTCCTCTTCATCACCTACCTCCTTCCCCTTGGCAGTATTTTTCGGAAATTGAACATTCATTTTCACTGTTATGCGGATGACACCCAGTTTTATTTATCCAGTAAACCCACTTCCTCACTCCCCCCCTTGTCCTTTACTAACTGCCTACTTGAAATTAAAGACTGGTTCACCTCAAACTTCCTTAAACTAAACAGTGATAAAACAGAACTCCTCCTCGTTGCCACTAAATCCACCTTATCCAAAATCAAAAGTTTCTCACTACCCATTGACAACTCCTTGGTCTCCCCCTCCCCTCAGGTCAAGAGTCTGGGTGTGATCCTTGACTCCTCCCTCTCCTTTCAGTCTCACATAAACAAAATTACCAGATCTGCATACTTTCACCTTTGCAACATTAACCGTCTCCGTTCCTCCCTCACCACTCACACCACCTCTGTCCTTATCCACAGCCTCATCACCTCCTGTCTTGATTATTGTAATTCTCTTCTTTTCGGTCTCCCTCATAAATCTCTCCATAAACTTCAACTTCTTCAGAACTCAGCTGCTCGTGTCATCACAAGAACTCCCTCCTTTCATCATATTTCCCCTGTCCTTCACCAACTCCATTGGCTCCCAGTCCAATTCAGAATTCAGAAAATCCTTCTCTATACTTTCAAAGCCATCCATAACCTTGCTCTTTCATATCTGTCAGACCTCCTTCACATTGCCACCTCCTCCCGCTCCCTTAGATCCTCCTCCTCCATCCACCTCACTGTACCCCTAGCTCAACTTGTCACCATCTCTTGTCATCTCTCATCTCTGGAACTCACTTCTTCCCGACCTCCGCAGTATTGACTCTCTACCCTTATTCAAAGCCAGACTCAAAACCCATCTGTTCCAGCTCGTTTATCTGTGAATACACTGCTCTTTTCCCTATCCATAGTTGTTTTTATGTTCCTATATTTGTATTTTTGTATTTTCATCTTTATTTTTATTTATTTTTTGTATTTTCTGCAAAGTGACCTTGAGAGTCCAGAAAGGCGCTGTTAATAAAATGTATTATTACTATTATTTGAACTATTTAAACTTTTTTTTTCCAAGTTGTTTTTAGATAGTAACAAAATGTTTTTTTTTTTATCAACCATATATTGGTACTTTTATCTGTATATTTAATACTTATTTTCACTTATTGCTGTTTATATTTTTTTTGTTCAAATGTAAACAGAGCTGCTTTTGTACACAAATGTCTGTTTTGTGGTTCTAGGCCAGGCCATGGGGGGGACCTTAACTGCGGTAGCATCAATAGTGACCCTAAGTGTGGCTGAGGATGTGACCAGCAACGCTCTGGCCTATTTCCTGACTGCAGACGTCTTTATCCTCATCTGCATCACCTCCTATTTGCTTTTGCCCAAATTTGCATATTCAAGGTAAAAAGATCCAAATATTTCTTCTTGCTAAACTTTTTTTTTTCTTCCCTCCCATGTTTGGAAATGTTAATGTTCTTTAACTTGTGGAAAAATCAGTGAAATAAAATCTCCCATCTCTTCTGTCAGACACTACATGCTGGGGAAGAGCTGCGCCAGGCCCGGGTCGCTCACTGAGGACCACGCCGCTACAGTCCCTCCGCTGCAGCCCATCATCAGAAAGGCTGGGATACTTGGCTTTTGCGTCTTCTATGTTTTCTTCATCACAATCTCTGTATTCCCCACCATCTCATCGGGGATCCAGTCTGTGAACGCAGACAGCGGCAGCCCCTGGACGACAACGTACTTCGTACCTCTGACCAGTTTCCTCCTTTATAATTTAGCAGACTTCTGTGGCAGGCAGGCGACGGCCTGGGTGCAGATCCCCGGTCCCACCAGCAGAGTCCTGCCCGCTCTGGTGCTGTGTCGCTCTGTGATGGTGCCACTCCTCATGTTCTGTAACTACCAGCCACGGGGCCATCTTCATACGGTGCTGTTCCCTAGTGATGTGTACCCTGTGATCTTTAACTGCCTGTTAGGTCTCTCTAATGGATACCTGGGCACGCTGCCTATGATCTATGGACCAAAGGTGGTTCCCCGGGAGCTGGCAGAAGCTACAGGAGTGGTCATGTCATTCTTTCTCTCTCTGGGACTAGCTGTTGGATCTCTATCTTCTGTTCTCATTGTGCACAATATCTGAACTGGTGGTAATTTAAACTTTGTAGTGAGGGAACACTACAGCCTGTGTGCAATCAAGCATTTTATTTCCACTGAACCAAAGTGTTGCTCCCCCCCCCATATCTCATAGTTTCAAATATAGTCTGTGCCAATTCTCAGGAGAGAATCCTCTTTGTACCTTTACATATTGGGAGGCAATATCTTCAGGATTAATTAATCAGATATGGTGGTACGTCACTTTAAATACTTGAAAATGAATTTATATCCAAATATACGGTACCCAATGTAAAAAAAAAACATTTGTAAATTCTGCAAAGAAATAAATTTGTTTTCTACAGTAAGCTGGTTTGGATCAGGTCTGTAGGGTTCCATGCTCTCACTATAAGCTCTGTACACAAGTCTAAGGTCAGGACAGATGCTTTTCCAAAACACTTTGAAATGAGTAAAAGTGGCTTTAGAACAAACTTCTATCCCTGAAGGGGAAATCTGTGCAGGTCAGAAGAGCAATTTGGATTCAAGTACACCAAGCTAAAAGCAGTAGAATATATAAAGATGTGGTGAGAGACCCAGGTATATTTGATCTAAGCTCTGCACTGGTGCAATTAGGTACTTTAAAGTCGTTTTTCCTACAAAATGTCAGATATTAGTCATTGCAATAATTGCAGCCTCATTTAAAAAAGAAAAAAAAGTTTAAAAATGTTACCATGAATATCTTTTACTAAAAAAGCAAAGAGAGAGGAGGCAGCAGGTAGGTTTGGAATCACTTTAATTGTCAAACTCACAAATTAACTGACAACCAGTTGCTTAAAACAGATTTGAGATTGTGTGCATTGGAGAAACATGTAAATCAAAGGTGCAAACATTGGGAGGAAGTCCCCCGATCAGCCCCTATAAAACAAAACCAAGATCCTCAAAGATCACATGTACACACTGCTAAAATAAGGACAAGCCAGAAACAAACTGGTTTGCAGATGCATTCAGTTTGGTTTAGAAAGGGGGAGGGGCTAGTTTAATTTGACATGTGAAGCAGGCCATACAGAATATAGAAACTAGTACAAAACTCAGAGGCCAAGTTTAAGGCCAACATACATAATCACCCCCCCCATCCACAACTTCAAACCCCTTTCCAAGTCCCAAACTTGAGAACAAACAAATAGTCCCAGTCCCTTTCCACCATGCCATCATTGAAATCATAAAGTTAATTTTGTCACATCACAGCAGTTTTAGCCTATTAGACATGGATTAATAGTGGAAAGCAGCACTACAGTGATTTTATTTCCCTACAGGTCAGTTTTTTCTTTACACCCACACATGGCGCCTGCAGTGAGCCACAGCCTGGAAGACAGAAGAGCAGGTTTAGATGGATGTCCTAAAGACAAAAACACTACAAGCTCTAAAATGCAGTGCAACAAACCTTCACTGAGGTTTAGTGATTTTTTTTTTAGTACAAGAGTAGAAAATAAAGCATTTATAGGAAGTCAATTAAGCTCATATCATCCCGTTTTAAACTAAAGTGTCAAGAATGAAAAGTTTAAATCTGCCCCACTAATACAAGTCATTTATGATGTAAGGACTTGTGTACTCACATTGCACTCTGTAGCTGTTTCCATGTTCTTGCACCAGTATCCAGGTCCCCAAGAGCACCTCTCTGTTCCCAGCAGCTTCCGCTCAGCCTCAGGACAAGCTCCCAATTTCTGCAACACAGATCAGACTTGCCATTTAGATACAAATCCATGACATCCAGAGGAAATCTGCCTCAGAATAAATCTACAAAAACTAAAATTCATATGAGCTTTTGCACTTACTGTGCAAACGAAGTCTGGGTCTAGCATCTGGAGCAACAGTTGGACAAGCATCGGCTCATACTGCTCCACCAGCTGGTCACACTAAAAAAGCTCTGGATGTTAGATGCCTGATTTAAGGAAATGTTAAAGACTATAGGAGATGTGACTTACCTCAGTCCTGTAAGCGTCGGGAAGGAAGCTGCATACTTTCTTCACAGCTTCTTCAATCTCTACCTCTGTGGCGTTCTTCTGCAGGATGCCATCGATGTAACTCACCGCCATCTTGCACACATCACAGTAGCCGCCAACCTTAAAACGAGTCTGATCCAGGGCAACTGAGGAGATTAAACAGTTTATTTGCACAAGTTGAACAGCTTTGAGCACTGCATTGCACAACTCCACGGTTTAAATGAAAATAGAGTGGATTTTAAAGCTGTGATTTACCAACAAATGCCCGGCTGGCATCGTTGCAGAGTCCCAGCATTGTGCAAACAGTCTTTGGGTCAGCCTGCTGCACCAGCAGCTCAATGATGGCCTGGCCGTACGTTTCAATCAGGTCTTTGCACTGAGCGGTCAGAGAGGAGGGCAGCAACGTGCACACCTTCTCCACAGCCTGAACGACCTCCTCCTGCCGTTACATACAAGGATCAGACGGATGCCAGGAAAAGCAGCACTGATGGTTTTAAATCACTAGAACCTGTCAAAGGTCCCCACCTCTGTTGTATGATCCTCCAGCATGGACTCCAGCTGCTTCATCACAAACTCGCAGATGGCACAAGTTCCAGACTCACGGACACGCACCATTGGCTGAAACAAGAATTAGGCAGCGTTTAATCATGCAGGACGAGTTATTTCTGATAATAAGACTCCCTTAAAACATGGCTTCCAACACCTACCTTGGAAACTGCAGGCTCAAGTTTGGTAGCAGGGAAAACCTTAGCCATTATAGTTTTGGCAGCAGGGACGGTCTTGGCAGCCTGAAGGTTCAACATGGGGACAGACTTCTTCATGGCAGCACAGAAACCGGCAAGAGTACAGATCTCCTTTGGTTGCTGGGGACAGAAAAGGACCATTAGCTTAGAATAGGTTACCCTAGCTTATGTGGTTAGAGTGAGCACGTCGTACAGCACTGCCAGTCATGCACTATGCACACGTTAGGCCACAACACGGTCAAACCAGCCAATAGGGTTTACAACAGGAGAACCAGCTAAAACACAGTAACCCTGAGGCCACCACCACTCCTGTTTTATAGGAGGAAAGTGTATCTCAGCCCAATATGCCAACTACTGCCAAGATGCAAATAGGAGCATCTCAATAAACTCGATCAAGAGGATAAAATAAATGCTAAGATTGTGCTATATAGATGTTATTCCCATTTATGGCTTACAGCTAATTAAAACCCAAAACTCAGTTTCCCAAAAAGTCCAAATGTTAAAGAAAACCCAGAAACAGCTTTGGGAATGTCACAACCTGCACCAAAAGACAGCCATTAAAGACCATTATAGCTGGCTGCTCAGAGAGCCATATAAAAGCAATGGAAAGTTTAACAGAAGGGAGAAAAAAAAAAAGGTTTAAACTTTCTATGCAAGAGTTTGAAAATGTTTCCTCCAGCTGGATTCTGTACTAACTGTCCTGCTCTTCTAATTGACACTCTAGATTTTGGAATATTTCTACACCTTTAACTGTTGATGCAGATAAAAATGTTCCTAACTGCTCAAGAATTTAATGAAAGCCTCTTCAGCATCAGATTTTTTTCTCCCTATTTTGACACTCCAAAGATCAGAATCTTTACAGAGAGTTTGGGCTTCTTGCCTCATTTCAGACAAACGAGCTCAATGCTATGCCACGTTAACAGTAATGTGTGCAACAAATACAGAAGCCATACGCTGCCCAATATTCCAACTGAGAATTTTTTGGGATTTTCGAATCAGCTGCAATCTGTCAAAGTTATCAAATACATCTATACGACAACAGCTTCACATTTTTATATTCAATGTTAACAGAGATGCCCCTGTGAGTTGCATGCGTGTGTAAATTGAAGCTTTTAGTCTGCTCACTTTATGCAACGCTCCTACAAAGACTCAAGTGTGGTGAATAGCCCAAAGCTAAAACCATTTCAAGGGTGTGAGGTTACCATTCCCATGCATCAGTGGCAGGCATGTAGTGCTTGGGTGGATTTCACAACAGCAAGAAGCACTAAGGATTTAAAGACTAAAGGCTGAACACAGAATGACCTACCTGGTCCTGGGAGCAGCAAATGAACCCAGGGTAAAAATAGGGAAAAGAACAGAATGACATGGATAAATGCAAATGGTGAACAGAAGCAAAATTAAATACAAACAAAAGAGGCTTTTGGGAGCATTTCATACAGTGAAAAGTGCTGCTGAAGTCAACATGGGCTCAGCAGCAAAAACAAAGGATCAGCCATTAGTACTCAGGTTTAGGCATTAGATCCATGTTACAGCCTGGCTTAAAGAGACCGAGAGGGGACTCTAGACACCTAGAGGACTCACCATGGACATGAGCTGCTGCACAACAACAGGTCCGTACTGCCCAACATACTGCTTACACTGCAATGAGAAATGGTAGGTAAACAATAAATAAAAACATCTCCACAGGAATTTGATTGATCTGAATTCTGTGCATAACAAGTCTTTACCATATCAGACAGGCCTGGTCCCAACAGGTCGCACTGGTTCTCAATGTTCTGAATCAGGGAGTCGATGAAAGAGGTGTTGGCTTTAGCTTCTGCCTGAGCATCAGTGAGGAACTTGATGCAGTCCTGACACACCTCATCACCATCCTACAAAAAAAAAAAAAAAAAGAAATATTTAAATAAAAAGACAGAAAAACTGGTGATATTAGATTAAAGATGTGACTAGAAGCACCTGCTCTGGAACTGCTTGTTTTGGAGTCTCCTGTTTGAGGTTCTCCTGAGGATACAGGAGCCCAGGAACATTGAGCAGGAAGGGAGCCACACGCTGGGAAAGATCCATCTGAGGGATTTCATTGGATACCAGCTCCTCCTGGGCATGAAGCTTGGCCAGAGCCATCTGCTCAGACTTGCACAAACCCATGGCGCCACACGCTACAGCAGGATCTTCCTTTAGAGACAAAAAAAAAAACACAATGTTCAGTGGTTTAAATGTATTAGTGGATGGGAAGTTTTTCCTAATTTCGATTTTTAGTTTAAAGGCTCCACAAAGGGAGCCTTGTTCCCCTTTAGATTTTAACCAACTTCCCCATCAATAGCTCCCTTTCAGCAGGACACACAGCTGCTTCTAAACCCTCCATCCAGTGCATGCCAATGACCAGATGGACTATTATTTACTCAGTCTGACAGGAATAATAAACCGACATACTACACAATAGTAGCAGAGCTAATTAAAGCATTATATTTAGATAAACATTACGCACCACTTCCCCAGTAATTATCCCAATAAGGATGGGATAGTAGCTGTCCACCATCTCTTTGCACTCAGCACTCAGACTCTGGTCAGGGATGAGCTGACATGCCTTCTCCAAGTATCCCAGAATTTCAGCCTGT